CCTGGCCAACCATCGACATCCACACCAAAGAGAAATATTCATGGCCACAAAGCAATGCTTTGCATTTGGTTGGATATGTACGGCGTCGTTTATTATGAGTTACTCAGACCGAACGAATGTATCACGTGGAATCGATATCAATCACAATTAAACCGTCTGAATGAAGCATTGTTGGAAAAAAGGCCAGCAGTAGCCAGCAATCGACGTAAAGTCATGCTTTTGCACGACAACGCTCGACCACACGTTGCCAAAGCCGTCAAAGAAACACTGATGCAGCTCGAGCGGGAAGTTCTCTCGCACCCAGCGTATTCACCAGACTTAGCTCCTTCGGACTATTACTTGTTCCGGTCGATGCAGCACGGCTTGCTGGATACACACTTCAGAAATTACGAGGATGTGCGAAAATGGATCGACGAATGGATTGCATCAAAAGACCAATCGTTCTATCGTCGCGGAATCTACGTGTTGCCCGAAAGATGGGAAAAATGAATAGCTAGCGAGAGAAAATACTTCGATTAATGTATTTTTTGCTTTTGATGTCGAAATAAATGAGTTTTTTAAATAAAAAAACCGCAGGAACTAAGTTTACCACCTAATATGAGCGGTATATCGTACGCGTTGTCAGCGGGATAATCGCTCGTATCAAACCTTGCAATATCGCGTTTCATGTGCTCGTATATATAATCGCATTCGATGTTGTAAATAAAACTGTCAGTGTCAGTGTATATTATTTTACATTTGCCGCGATACAAAGGATACATGTACTCGTGATGAAATTCGTACAAGCAAACTTTAGATATGTCGAGTATGCACATACTCACGTAGATTGGCTTGTTGAATTTCACCTCGAGTTTGCGCAATTCAATGGTGATTAAGTTTTTCGAAAATACATTTATACTGTGAAAATTTGATTTTGCGATCATTGCCTTTGCACTGTACCTACCGTCCCAATGTGTTACTAGTTTTACATCGATATGATTTCGAATATTTTCCATCGTTTTGCCGAATACCGCATTATTCATCAATTTGTACAAATTTTTCTCAAAATCATTAGTTGCACACGTTCTAAATTGTGTTTAATTCGATATAACTATGGAGCCAGGGAGATTGAGCGAATTGGAGCATGCGGTGAATCTTTGTAATACGAAGACCGTGGCGTGTGCACTGCTGCAGGTTGCGGTAGTGGATAATATAATGCTGCTTATCGTATAGAGTCGCGAGAAGTTTCTCCTGACGCTTGCTGGGTGGCTTATCGCGCGTTGGAGAAAACGGTAGGTCAGTGTGCACATCATGCAAATTTTGCAGATACTCCAAGTGGACCTCGAGAATGTATTCTGTAGGCAAATCGATAGCGACTGAGAATACGTCAAAGTTTGATACGTTGTCGATTCATCGATACTCGGCGTAAGGCAATGGTTGACACATTGCCCATCCATACAGATTGTTTACGTCAAAGTACATTAAGTACGACGATAATTTCGATGGGTCGTAAGACTGCATGTACTTGTTATTGGCGTGTGCGTATCTATCCGAACATTGACTTAGGTCACCGCGTATACCGCGTTCGATGAACATGATCATATCAATATCGGTGAGCAGTTCGAAATTTATGTCGGTATGTTTCAACATTGCAACCTATGTAAATCCTGGATAGCGATCATGAATCTTTTCCCTTAGTGTGAACTCGTGAAAAGTGAAAATTTTGTAATAAACTCGTGAAGGATGAAAATCTTCACTAAACTCGTGAAAAATGAAAGATTTAACGTGAATTTGTAAGTAAAATAAATATTACAATATACTCAAGACAACACCAATTTGCAATGGACATTTTTAGAATTTTTCAGCATATTTTTAAGACATAGTGGTGTCTTTAGAACATCCCTTGGAAGTCTGCTTATCTGGGATTACTTTAAGATAAATTATTAAAAGATAGAATATTCTATTCATATTAATATTTTAAATCTACAGAAAATATATTTCATATAAAATAATACATAAAATACAAATAATTTACATAATTATTTATTTTTATATTATTAATTATAATTTATTTTATGCAATAAATACTGTGACGACTTTTCTCATTAGTTAAGGTGGACAGCCATTTGTCCGCCGCGTCGACAAATTTCCGCTGTCCTCGATCCTCGACCTCGATATTCGTACGCGAAATTGGGCACCAGGTGTGGTAAGGCTGCACCTCCTCACCAATTTATACACCAAAAATCGTCACTACTACGAAGTCGAGAAAATCGAGAACTTACGGAGCCGGCAGCTCTAGATTAAACCGAAATAATAGAACGCTCCTTTATAGAGTTAACTAATAGTGAAAAATATTAATGGCACAGAAGGAAAGTGGGGAGGTTCCAGGTTCGAGTCCTGGCGGAGGCAGTTTTTTCGCAACATATACAAAAAAGGAATCTATTTGAGTCTTCGGTTTTATGGGGGTTTGAGATTTTAATTAAAATATATATTTAAAATTTGGGACTCAAGGATCGGTTTAAGTATGGAAGGTTGATTCTCCGCGTACGTTAGTCGAAGAGAAAATTTCGATACGTGCGTTTGACATACTGGACATTTTTATCCTCCCACAATCATATTAATATTAAAATTATGTTAGTATTTAATAGCACTAAGACATCCGTGCTAGCTCCTTATGTGCCATTAATATTTTTAACTATTAGTTAGCTCTAGATTAATTAGAGTCGGAGATGGGAGTGGGTGTTGGGAAAAGGAGCATATATCAGGCAAAGAAAGTTAGGCGGTCCAATCGTACGGTAATTATTTAATTTATTTTATCGGAACACACTCGTTCCGATGCTCGCACAGTTTCAAAGATCCGACGATAGATCCGTTAGCGATACGATATACAAGGTTTTTGCGAACTATTCTCTAAGGTCACGATGTGTTACAATTTTCGACTTTCTTTCAATTTCACACGGCCACTCCTTGTTATGGACGATACGATGACGGGCATGCTACAAATGGAAACGAGTGGTTGATCTTACAGATTATCGTAGCTCGCTCCTCGCCTTGACCCTCGTGGATGCCCTCCGGTATTAGCTCCCGGTTGTCGGCTGGTCACAGATGCCCTCGCTCGTCTTCTCGATAGGTTTCGACCACGGTACTCCGTCTCGAGAGGGTTAGCTCGGTTACGATATTTCGCTCTCGATATACGATATTGGCACTCGCCGTAACATCAAAAATTCTCTCACCGACCGATTGCGTATCTCGGTACCAAAAGGACAAGCCCGATCTCGCCTTTGTTTCTTCTTTTTCTTTGCTCCCGTCGCTATCTCTCTCCCTCTCTCCTTCTCTCTCTTTCTTTCTCGGCCTCTTCCAATCACCGCGATTTTAGCCGTCGCCTTTGTTTTCTCTTTTCCTATTGCCATCGACACCTGATCTCGCGGAATCGTTATTGTCAGCCGTCAGCTGTTCCGCTCCGGCGGCTCTCCTCTACGCCTCTTGTTTTGGCTGAAATCATAAATACCGCCGGCGGCAACCAAACTCAGGACGATAACACTTTCTTATTTCTAAGCGATTAGAAGTTAAAGCTCCGGTACCTGAGTCATATTTGACCGTGATCCCTGATGAGGATGGCGACTCGTCTTGTCTCCCTCCGATCCCACGCTGTCCGTCGAATCCTCCTCCATCGGGTCGGCTGAGGGAGCTTGGGGACACAATCATGGGGCGCGGGACCAATCCACTCTTCCAATCTTACTTTCACTAAATTTTTGCCACATTTTCCATGACTGGCGGTCGGCCTCGCGTTCACGAAACGGCATCGGCGCTATACAATATAGGCGCATGTTGACCCGCGTTGGTCCTTGTGCCCTGATGGTGCCTCAGGGCCACCACGTCACAATACATAAAATAAACTTACATTTTACTTATTGCATACAATTTATAATATATTACACTTTAACTTTCTGATGCATACGTATCTTAACTTTGCAAACTTCGTCGGTATGCTTTCACTGCCTATACGTCATCACGCTTCAATTGGCTTTCGTTGTTCATTTTTAATGGACATAGGATTCTTATGTCAAATGCCAATTTTCGTATAATCATAAAAATTAAAGTCACTATAAGAAATTTTATTTACTTTGTATATAATATGCGAGTATAGTATTACATTATTTTTCACATTTAAACCGCATCGTTTGATGCTTAAAAATTTTCATGGAAACTTACACAATTTACAAAAGAGTAAAGAAGAACATATACGAGCAAACTGAAACAGTTCACGTGAAATATTTCACGTTTTATTTCACTCATATTGTATTATTATATTATAACTATAAATTTAAGTTGTACAATGCTTATTAATGTGTTATATATTACATTGTGTATACTGTAATTACATTTTAATTTTAATAATTTATATTACATAAATATTGCTTTCCACATTTTCATTGTTCACTTTTCATGTGAAATAACTTACAATGAAAAGTGAAAAATGAAAATGAAGTTCACGTGAAAGGTTCATGGTCGCTACCCTGGTAGAGTATAATAATGCGCGGGATCGAGTCCATAACTTGCGATGCAGCTATCACGGAAATTTTCAAAAATATCTGCCAATAACAAGACATCAGTTTTTAAATACAAGTCGCTGTAATCGCCCAAGAGTGGAGAATAATAAAAGGAACAAACGTAAATAATTATGAAGTTCACATAACCTTTATAATATTATTATATATATTACAATTTTACTACCGTTTTACGTAAATGTGTTCACTGCTTATCGTCTATTGGTTCCTATAACTTTATTCCGATCGGAATCGACTTTCCGCTTGCTTGAAAGGTGTCGGTAACTTTCCGATCATTTCGGATACAATTCGAATGTTCATAATAGCATAATTGTCAGAAAACGGAATCATTCCAATTGGAAACTTTTCCCAGTTTCATAATAGGTTCCATGATTATATTTATTTTTTCTATACTGCGATTGGTTGAAGTAAATAATTTCACTCCTTCCTCTTGTCTCGTTTATTTTCGATTACAACGTGCGGAAAGCCAATTCCGCTCGGAATACATAATAGCACAAATGCATAAATGGAATCATAGTCGGACACTTACCAGTCGGAACCTAGCATTTCCGATCGGAATCAGTAGGTATAGTATAGGGGTTCTAACTTAGGTCCTCTGGGGGAGGTGCGGGACGAGGAGGTACCGCCGGGGCTATGACGTCACCGGGGGGGAGAGGGGTACCGGTATTATCAGCGCTCGGTGATTGGAAGGCATACCGATATACCGACGGTCGGTAATTTTTTACCGATATTATATACCGACATTCAATTACATAATTTTTTACCAACATATATTTACATAATTTGTTACCGACATATTTACATAATATCTATGATCGGCCAACGGTCAGTAATTTATTCCCGATATTATATGCCAATATTCAATTACATAATTTCTTACCAACATATATTTACATAATTTGTTATCGACATATTTACATAATACCGATGATTGGCCAACGGTCGGTAATTTATTACTGATATTATATACCAACATTCAATTACATAATTTTTTTTACCAACATATATATCTACATAATTTTTTACCGACATATTTACATAATACCGTTGATCGGTAATTACCGATATTATATACCGATGTTTATATAATTTTTTCAATCTTCTTTCGATAGATCATTTTATCGATCCGCGGCGTACTTTGCGGCAGTTTGCGGCGGTTTTTGCGGCGGATTTTGTGACAGCCCGCACCGCCCGCACCGTCCGCTCGCGTATTTAGCGGCGTAAATTTTTTTCGTCGCAGCTGCAAAATCTAACATTTTGCAAACGTATGCATTCGACAGTACGATGCGCAAGAAGAAGAATGTGACACATGATATTTTTATTATTAATGAGCACGTACACTGTGCTCCGCAAAAGACCAGATAACATTTTAAGACTATTTGTGGTGTATCGAGAAATATGGGAAAAAAAGTAATATAGAAATAAGCAACAGATCTTGGGATTACAATTTATATATTTTGAAACTGTTACATGTACAGATTATTTGTTCAATACTTCATACATAATATCATTCATTGCACACGCCAATAGCTTGCAATCGATGAGTGTACCACCGTCAAAGTCCCCGCTATTGCGTATCGTCGATATCGCATTATCCGTTTCGGTAATATTCTTCTCTCGAAGAATTTTTACAAAATTTCTATTAATATATTTCTATTATCATTTTGTATTAATAATATGTGTATTTTCATATACCCATGAGTACATATGGTCAATGCAATGCTCGAGAGTAAACAAATGTTCCACTATAACTGGTTGCAAGTACATGCAGTTACTGGATAATGTGAGTGTTGTGACGCTGGTGTCACCTTGTAAGGAAGGCTCGTTCGCCAAGGCGGATGTAATAATGTTGACTCTCTTTGTTCTAACAAATGCCGTTTATTTGGTGTCTCGGATGTAATTCGATGTGAGGCAGGCGATAGGCGATACGCGCGATATAAGAATCGATGCACTTGTTCCAAAATGTATCTCGGTATCTTACAATTTTATCGACATTAAGAAGGTCTCGCTGCTAATAACGAAAAAAGGTATCTGGCCAGCAACGAGACTTCTATTGCGGTATAGGTCGCGCCTTGTTAACCGAAAGAAAACAACAATAATAATTTCGGGAAGCGGATTTCGGTAATTTATCGTGGCGAGACAAAGACGATATCCGACGATAACCACGTTGTTTTTTCTCGCGTCGCGTGACTCGTTCTCACACGGTACGAAGAAATATTATTGTTGATATCAACATCGCGGTTCGTACAGGCGAGATATACGCGTGTTTTGAACGGTATCGTTGTGCAATTGCTTTGTTGTCCTAGAGAATATTTACTTGACGATGAGTCCGAAACAGTGAGTTTTGAAAGTTTCTTGCCATACATCGTGCAGCATTCCATCGCCAAATCGCGAATCTATAGCGGAGAGAATGACACCTCGGTTGGTTAAAAGTTATAAAATATCTTCACGTTCATCAATCCTCCCCAAGTTGAATGTAAGACCAATTAATTGCCACGATTGTCACCGAGGCCTAGTTGCACAGTGGATACCAATCCCATGCTGATCCCAATCTCCAAGTACTTAAAAGACGTTAACGTCAAAGCGTATCTTAGTAGGTGAATAAGGGGGGTTCTAAACCCAGGTCCTCTGAGGGGGGGTGCGGGGCGAGGGGAACTGCGGGCGCGGGGGCGACGTCACGCAGGAGAGGGGGCTTACCGACATTTCTTTTTTACCGACATATTACCGGTAT